CTCACCAGGTCATCACCCGTGGCCAGCACTAGGTCCAACCTAGGAGCATGATGCAGATCACATTTTTAGTAACAGATAAAGATGTCAAAATCTTGAAAGAGAAAAAGACTCAACTTTACTGAATAAAAATGTTCCATATCTGTTGCACACAGTGGTAAAAACAGCATGTGGCAATGTGTATTCACATATGCATATTCACAAAGGTTTGTACAAACATAAATTCTCATGTTTCCTACCCATTAAGACCTACACTTTGCCATCTTAAAATTCCTTCACTGTAGTTTCTCTCATATTTATATAGATCAATTACAAAATTGGATGATTTGTTTTGTTTATATGCTGCAGGTTAAACTGTACTAAAGTCTCTTTTACACTATTTTCTGAAACTGCAATTTTACACTGAATAGATTTATTTAATGGCTGTTGCTTTGCTTTATTCAGCTGAAAGGGAAAGGGAAATCTTTTAAAGTAACTGAGATGTGAGATCAGACTAGGTTTACTCTTCTTTACAATTAACTTAGTAATAAAGCAGAGTTTTTTCTGTTGGGGGAAAAGTAAACTACATATTCAATATCTACAATCTAACCTTCCTAAATGAGGATGGAGAATCCATTTATACTCAGTAATTTAACAACTGTGGCAACAAATTAAAAGTCAGGGCAGACAGCAGAGACCCAAAAAGATATACAATGTAGAGCAAAGACCATCCAAATTAAAGGGAACTCTTCTACGTTGTCAAATTTTGAGTAATTAGTATCATCATTAGAGGCACATCTCCAGCTTTAAGCAATTTTGAGTAATTAATGTTTTCGTATTTTGCACAGAAGTCCTGACTTCAGCATTCCCTTAGGATATGAATTCTCCTAGACAGAGTTACACAATGCAGATTAACTCAGCTGGAAGACAATTAGAGTAGGCAGATGAAATATAATTTGTCAGCCTATACAAATGGTTACTTCTAGCCTTAGATTTGATTTGTCTTAACACCACAACTGGCTGATTTAAATAGAGGTAGGCACACAATTCTGGCAATTCATTTCCATACATGTGCTGAGTGTCTGAGTCACAAGAGTTATGAGAGATTTGAAATTTTTAAATGACTACCCAGACAAAAGAGCCAGAGAAGCAATAGATCTCCCTAGCTCTCTGGATAACCTTATTCCAGTTACAGGTTTCAGTAGTACTTAGCATACACTTTAGAATTTAAAAGAAAACAGAGCAAATCTTGCTTTTCTTATTAAACATGCCAAATAAACTCAGATATTAAAAATGCCAGACTGAGCAGGAAGCATGATTCTGAGCTAGTGGTTGGTATATGTGAGGGAGAGTCAGAAGTAATGGTATCTATTGCCAGATCTGCCACTGACTCTGCATCTGGCCCTGACCAAGTGCTCTGTGCTTACTTCAAGGTCAGCTCATACGTGATCTTACAGTGCATCTGCTATTCCACAGTAACTACCTACACATGTACTTTTACCCCACAATAAGTGAGAGGTAACTTCCCTCACTTTCACTGAGGGGTAAGCTACGCTGTATGTACCATGAGATAAATATATGCTCAATTACCTTGGAGCTCCCTGCTGCCAGGGCAGGGGGACATAGTCCTCGCCTGGGCTCCAGTGGCAGAGCCCGCCTCTGCAGCAGGCAGCTGCTGGGGGCAGAGAGTAATTTTCTGTTCTCTGGTGGCCAGTTGACTGGGAGCAGATTTGCTCCCAGTTAGGTGTCTACAAAAGTGCTACTATGCAGTAACTACTTGCATGTAAATTTGCTACTTGCAAGTAGCAAATTTGCTCATGATTAGTGAGGTTTGCTGTGTAGATGCACATGCTTACTGGACAGTAAACGATGTAGTGAAGTGTCTCGTGTAGACATGCCCTCTATGTTCTGCTCCGTCCCATAAGGCAGCCTAAGCCTATAAACTTAAGGAATTGTGATTTCTACTCAATGCCAATACTCATAGAAATGGTATAGAAATTACAAGACATCAGAGTGTACCTCTGAAGATTGAAAACAAGTATTTAGGAGATAAGGATGTTTCTCAAGTAAACTTTGTTTTTGGGGCAGGGGCAGGAGAGGAAGGATAGAAATCTTCAAGGCTTCCTTAGTTTTTCTTTTAATTTGAATCAGTTGCTGCCTGTGTTTGTAACCAAAGATAGATGCAAGAGAGAGACTTAAATTAAAAGTTTCCACAAACATAGAAAAGAGAACAGATTTGAAAGAAATATAGAAAGAAGGAGAAAAATGAAACAGTAAGATGCCATCAAGGAGCACAATCACTGAATAATATGTCTATGTGCACTGTAGCTATGCTGGCAATCTGCTCAGGCAGGCTGTTTTGTCCTCTATATTATACTTTGGCTCACAACTATACTAAATTCCATTATACTTACAATGTTAGAACAGCACATATTGGATCACTCAAAATTTTGGCTGCTAATGAAGGTGTCTTAAAGTCCCAATGTATAAGCTACTTTTGAAACCAGTAGTATATTTCATGCTTTTTCAAGAGTTATGATAATTCATTTAGGTGAAAATTGTCAAAATTAAATCAAGTGCTTCTTGTTGAAAAGACAGGCATGGATATCACAGAAATTGGTATTTTTTCCCTCCCAACAAAACAGACCATGTGTGATATTTTTCTGAAATAACACATAACCTATGATTACCATTAATAGATGTGAATGGTATTTGCAGAACCACTTGTGAGAATCAGGTCATGAGTGTGGGTTGAGGACAAACATGCAATCAGTACTGTTATTAAAGACTCATCTCCAGCTTCTGAATAATTAACGGCCTTCTTTTTCCCATGAAAGATTGGTCATCGGCATTCTCTTAGAAGACAAATGTCCCCTAGTCAAGCCGAAAGTACACAAATTACCTCTTCTGGAAGACAATTAACAAGAGAAAGATGAAAATAGAATCTGTCAGGCCGTATGCATGTACTACAGTGAAGCACATCCCATTACTGATTATTTTTTAAAGATGTGATTGGCTGATTTCAAGACTATGGACAATTGATTCGGGCTATTCTCAACTGCATGTTACCTCAGTAGCTAAATATTGCCATACAGTATTCAAAACCTTTAAAACAGAGAAAGGAAATTAGCAAAGAGGATGATCTCCATATCTTTGCTTAACTGCTAATAAGCAAATGGGTTATAAAACCTCTGTTCAACACACTGAAAATGAGTTTTCCCAAATTCAAATGACATGCTTCTAAAGCCAAAAGTGACAGATAGCAACTGGTTGAACAAGCACCACACTTTTTGTTCACTTTTAAACCTACCTTCTGTGGAAGAATCTCCAAGCTTTTTTCTTGGTTGTTTTGCTCTTCTTATCAAGAACTATAAAGCACCTTATCATTTAATAGAAAATACAGACAAATATGAGGAAAACTAAAGAGACAAGGATGTGTCTAGCCTCTTCCAGAAGACATGCACCCAAGTTACCTGAAGGAATCAAAATTGCACGGTAGAAGCTGGACAGATGCCACATTTCACTTCAATTTTAATTTCCTTACAATCTGTTTAATGTGTAATTGGAAAAAATATTTTACAACAAGAACTGGAAATATGAAATCTTAGCATCAAGACTCTTCATAAAGATATGTTATTTACACTGATCATAAAAAGCTGTTTTCTTACATTTTACCCTTCTCTCCATACAGCAAAAAGTACAGAAATAGCAACAGCGTTCACACCACTTCAGGATAATAGCTGTAGAACTTGTCGTATGCGCTCACACTTGTCCAACAGGTTGGGATCTTCTAGGTCAGCGCTGTCATACTCTTTCATGAGAGCCTCAGCTTTCTGCACAGTTATCTCACGTGCACTGCCCTTGAGCCCTTCCAAGTATTCCAGTAAAATAGAAAAATATGTATCCGGGACCTCAGAGAATAGAAAGAAAGAGAAAGAAATCTCAGCACATCATCAGAATTGTGCAAAAGTACCAGGGTGCAGTGAACACCAGGCTGGAATGGACAATTAGTAGAAATAGGTGGGATTTTGCCCCAGCCAGCTCCCAGCTTGGATAGAAATAGTAACTGGCAAGTGTTCTAATCCTGCTGTAGTAAACATTTCCTACATGCTCAGATTTACATAGGGTCTGGGAGAAAATCTGAAGGAAAACAGAATCATAATATAACTTGAAATGCCAATTAGGACACCTCTAAGTGTGTTGAGCAACATCTTAGAGTCTGAGAGTTGCTGAAGGAGAAAACAATGGGCTAACTCTACCCTTAGACACATGTGCGAAAGTTCTGTTGAACACAATTAAAGCTGCACGCACAACTTGGAGGAAAGAATTTGGCCAACAATCTCACAATATGCCTATTACAACCAGCTTGCCTTCCCCTCCACATGCAGAATTACTCCAGTTGCTCAGAAGAGATACCACCCACTGTCAAACAGTAGACAGTAACACCGACAGAGCCCTTATATGAAGGACGAGCATTTACTATTAAAAGCATATGGAATTCAGACATATGGAAAACATCCTTAGATCCTACTGAATAAGGCTCTGATAGGATCATTTAACCAAACACGAAATACAGTGCAATTGTCTTTCATCCCCCAATCTGTTTTCTTCTCCTTTTGCCCTTTTCTCCTTAATTAGTAACAGGGTAAATTTTAGCTCCATCTGGAATGAAATAAGTCTTAAATAATCAATAAGATATATTTATATTACTAATAAATTAATAAAGAATTTTAGAATCAGGTACTTGACGTAGTCTCCAGAAATAATGAGTTTTTAAAAATATCACAGAAGCGGATCATCTGAATTTTATGTACATTTATGGCTGCAATTCCAGTCATTAATACTTTTCCGGCAGTTCAGGGGAAGCTAAAATGACCCCATCCTGCAAACATTTATGCAGACACTTTAATTTTATGCCTAAGGTCAATATGACTATACAACGTATGGAAAATTAAGCAAGTCCATAAATGTTTGAAGGACTGGGGCCTTAATTAACTGAGGGCTGTATTTTTTCATGCTGCCCAATAACACATTCTTACAGATGACAGAACGTCAACAAATAATGAACTTTACAACTAATTTCTGCATTGTTACAGTGCACAGTAAATGTACCAAACTTCTGTCATTCCCAATGCAGGGAGGAAGTAACATTCCAACAGTGTCATGGTCAATCAGGGATAATACAAAGCATTACACTAGAAGCAGTCTATTTGCAGCCTTACAATTTATCCACTATGGAAACCAACTATTATTTTTCACATAGAAAACTGTACAACACAAAGGAAAAACTGACTATCCAGTGATGAAACTGACTGTGCACAAAGTGGTGTCAAAATGTCTTTTTGGTCTTCTAATTTCTTTCAATTATAGTAAACTTGTAACTCTACTGAGCAAAAATTTAGATGGAAGTACGATTGTTACATTCATAGTGTCCCCTTAATAGAAATAGCTCCCCAAGTCAGCGGTTTCCAACCTTTTTGGCTCAGTGTACCCCTGGCAGCTGGATGCGGAGCAGTGTACCGGAACGCAGAGCAGAGGGGGTGAGGAGTGGCATGCGGTTGAATGTGGAAGGGCGGTGGCTGCTGTGTGCAAGCTTCCCCCACCCCCTGTGTCTGGCTGAGCAGGTGGCATCTGTGCGGGATGGTACATGGCAGTGCTCTGTCCCCGCCTGCCTGCATGCACCCCCTAGGGCATTCTCAAGTGCCCCCCAGGGTACACATACCCCCGGTTGACAACCCGTCCTGAATAATGAATGTTTAACCCTCAGCAGCATCTGCATATTTTGTATTTTCGCCAAATATCCATATATACTTAATTTTCCTTGGTACTTAATTTTCCTCGGTACCAGAATTTACTGAGGGAATTACCTAACATTATATCACTAGCCAGTTGCCCGTCAAGAATGACAGGGGGGCAGCGGGCAGGGGTGGAGCCCCGTGGCCCCCCACCCCAGGCCTGCTCCCCCC